AGCCATTTGGCACATCACATCTGATCTTGTTACCATCTTAGGGGGCAAAAGGAGGGAGACTAGCAGAAGTTGAGGGGGTGAAGTTTATAGCTATATATGTGTTTGTAAGTAAGTAAGTGAAAACTGTCCCAGATAGCACCCCCCCCCCCCATCCCAGCCATTGTCCTTGATAAGTGATGGAGTGTTTATCAGCCGGCCTCGGTAGAGTGCTGATTCAGGTCCACAGATGCCATGGAGAAGGGAGCAGCTAATGGAAACACAGCATCTTGTTTATATGATATCCAGGAGAAATTGAAATAGCCAGACTTCCAAGGGGAACCAGTTCAAATAACAACAGTTGTTTAGCTGACTCCGACAATTTCCATCTGCCGTAAAGTCAATCCCACCAAGCCGAACTTGCAATTTCTCCAAGGTCTCTTCCCTCCACCCAGCGAGTTCATGAAATGTAAGTAGCCAGCATCTGAGTGTTTATAGCATGGTATATTCCCTAACACAGGCTGTGCAGCCTCACAAAGGCCAAAAGCTGTCAGCATTTTACAAATTTCTCAGTATGCCAGGTAATTGCCAACTCCAAAAACAGAAATCCTGTCATCAAAAATCCAATGATGTACACATCTTCCACATTCTCAACTGACAATATGGACAGATCTATAGTCTTCCACTCTCCCCAGGGATCCATTGTATATCCAGCTGCAAATGTCCCATCACTGCAAGAGGGCTCTCCTTTGCCCTGTCTTCTCCTTGAGAAAAATTTTATCAATTGCGTTGAGAGACTGGCTGATCAGATCCATGATTTACAACTCAGAAGATATGCAAAGAGAGGTCAAAAAAGACTGCATAGAACATAGAGCAAAAGCAGGGCAAATAGGGGAGGTAGCGGCAGAAGAAAAAGGGTTTGCCTTCCCTGAGAGAGAAAAGAGAGAATTTTGACTTAATAGGTTTTCATTTCTAAATTTTAAATCTTCTTCTAAAGAGTGTACTGTTTTTGGTCTTGTTTAGAGTATTGATGTCATGGCCTTAAATTTTTGCTCACTGGGCTTTCTTAGTTCCAGGTATATTCTCAGATATCAGTAATTATCGATTATTGGTCTTTGGAGTGCGAAAACTATGGGTTTTAAAAAAACGTTAGCATGCATGTCTGAATATTACCCAACTTTTTCATTCTGATGTCTGCAGAGTAATACTGGGAGGTATTAAATAATATCTTTTCAGATGATCAGGCTATCTACTGTAGTAGTCAGCATGCAGACTGCTGCTTAACAGTGCTATACTGCTCTACCTCTTTTAGCATGCCAATTAATTATTCCTGTTTAAAACAAGTTCTAGTAACACATGCTTCACTTTGAGGGTATAGGTGAGTTTTTTTAAACTGTGTTGTATGTTTGTGTCTGCAGACTTTCAGGCTGCCTGATTACAGATGAAGGCTGTGCTGCTCTGGCTTCAGCTCTGACTATGAACCCGTCTCACCTGAAGGAGCTGGACCTCAGCTACAATAATCCAGGAGAGGCAGAAAAGGAGAGTCTAACAGCTATACTGAAGAATCCAAGCTTCAAACTGGTCTCTCTCTGGTAAGGAATTATTTTCTGCAGCCACACAGAACTAGTCTTGTTCAATACCGAACTCAGAATTGACACAAATGTAATAACTGGGATTGAAGGTGTTGCCCAAGATCATCAGCTAGTAGAGTACTGGAGAGAGAAGGCATGGAGGAATAATGATTATAGAAACAGTACTCTGAGAGTGCCAGGATTATTTGAAAAGAGATTGTTGATGGGAGATTACAGAAATTCCAAATCCAAGGAGTGAACTGACAAGCAGGGCATGTAATATGGCTGGTCACAAATATCCAGAGATCAGTGTTGTGGTCAAGACCACCTAACCCGAGACCAAGACAAGACCAAGACCAGAGTGTATCAAGACTGAGACAAGACCAA